TCCTGAGATGGTTCTGAAATTCAGGTGGGAAGACTCAAAGTCATATTTTGGTTCCCATGAATTCGGTTTAATTTTCCTCAGCTTCAGCTTGAACTTGCATATGAGTAGTTGCTGGTCTGTTCTAAAAGCAGCTCCTGTCCTAGTTTTTACAGCTGATACTGAATATCTCCAGTGGTTCTTTCTGCAGATGTAATCAATCTGATTTATATGCATACGATCAGGTGAAATCCATGTGTATAACCTGCGTTTAGGTCTCTTAAATATGTATTTGCAATGAATAAGTCATTGATTGTGCAAAATGCAATAATTCTAACTCCAGCTTCATTTCTGTCACTGAGTCCATGTTTTCCAACTACTGAATCTTCTTTCCTGTTTCCAACTTTTACATTCCAGTCACCCATTATTATCAGTGCATCTTGATTGCATTTCGATGGCTCTCCGACTGTAAAAGTTGGTAGAAATCTTCTATTTCCTCTTTTTTGGCTCTGGTTTTTGGTGAATATATCTGAATGACAGTGGTATTCACTGGATTTTCTTGTATGCATATCAATATTATCCTGTCACCCACAATATTGTACTTCAAGATAGATCTAGAAAAGACTTTCTTAACTATGAAAGCAACCCCATTTGAAACATTTACTGCAGAAAATTTACTACTGTCTTCATTATGGGTTACATGTCAACTTCAAGAAAGCAAAAATCTTGACCATAAGACCATCATGACAGATGGAGGTAAGTTTGAAGTATCAATGATTTAATTTTACCTGGATCCACAATCGACACCCATGGCAGCAGCAGTCAAGGAATCAAAAGATGTGTTGCATTGGACAAATCTACCATCAAGAACCTTTCCAAACTGCTACAGAGCAATGATATTTATTTAAAGCTTAATGTGTTCCTAATCCAAGAAATGGTATTTTCATTTGTTTTCTATGCATCTGAAAATTAGACAATAAATAATGAAGATAAAATACAAATCGGCATCTTTGGATTATAATGTTGGAAAAAAATACTTGCCAAAAGAAAAAAAAATTAAAAAATCAGACTATCTATGAGGTGGATTGATTCAGTGACTGGGGTAATCAGGGTGGGTGTGTTGGAGACAGTGAGACTGGCACTGGACAGACCAGGGTTTAGGGCCGTTGTACATAGGGTCGCTATGAGTTGCAGGCGACTCGATGGCACTTAACAACCACAATGTTAAAGTAAGTACAATCAGAGAGCTCCTTACAGGCAAGAATAGTAAAACTTAATCTCACATACTTTGGGTATGTTATGAGGAATCCAATTCTTCAGAAAAAAATACCATCCTGGGAAAAGTAAAAAGTCAGAGGAAGACTTTCAATAAGGTGGAAGGACAGTGACTGGCTAGAAACATGTTACAGACTGCAAGGATGGCACAGAATAGGGAAAGGTTGAGATAAGTTGTTCATAGGCTCACAATGAATGATAGTGGACTTGATGGCAACTAACTACAATATCAATGATTATTAGTTCATAATACATTAAAATCAATCACTTTAGTATTAAATTGACCTACAAAATAACAATTTGTTGTGTCTTAATTTTATGTCAGGTACTGAGATAGGCTAATATCTAGGTGGTGTCTGAGATGATAGGTAGAGATATGATAGCAAATACATGTCAAATCTTCATGGAGTTCATATCTTCTCAAGTAGATCAACATGGAAAGGGAAGCTACATCTTAATGAGGAAATAATTTCAATTTTATTTTCCAGAGTTACTCATATTACATCTATCACTTCTTCTATGAGAAAAATCTTTCAGATGTTTATCTGCTTTCATAAAGAGTTCTAATGGCATAATTTGTAGGGATTTGTGCTGCTAATTCAAAGGTGACACCTCTCTAGCAGTCTCAATCCACCAATAGTTTCATGGGAGAAAGATGGAAAATCTGTGTAATTCACAGTATCTAAAACTTGCTGGGGGTTAGCAGAGTTAGGTCTAATCAATGGCAATGGGTTTGTTGGTATAAAGATAATAGTCCGGGCACCCTATCCTATAAAGCAGTTTTAGTCAGTAATACATGAGGTTGCCATGAGTTGGATGCTGATGCAGTGGCAACTAACTACAACAACAAAAACAACAAGCACCACCACTACCACCACCATGTCCCAATACTCAAAACTTTCCCTATTCATCAATAATTGAGCAAGCATTTATTGAACACCTACAAGAAGACAGATTCTGTCTTAAGTCTTGGGAAATTATCAATAATGAAGCAATCAAACAAAAACTCCAGTAGATAAAAGCTTGTACTTCAGGAGTTCACACTCAAGGAGCTGGAAATAGAATATGTAAAGCAAGTAAACATGAAGTAAAGAAATAGAGTAATTAAAGATTAGGAATATCAAGAAAGTGAGACATTCACTGTTGTAAAACAGGACTGACTTCAGGGTTAGGGGGCAGCCAAGAAAAGAGGGGATAAATAATGTGCACTGCTTTGAAATAGATGAGGGAAAGAACGGCTTAAAAGGAATACATGCTTTGGTATTATTTGTATTACAACAGTCCAGAATAAGGGCTGCATAGTAAAGTGGACTGGGGTGGAGGTGGGGAACTGTACAACACAGAAAGATTTCTTTTTTCAAGGAGAAAAGTGAACTGGGGGGCAGGGAGGAAAATGTGCAACAATGAATGAATGGAAATCCAAGTTCTCTATAAACTTTCATTAAAATCTCAATTAAAAAAGAATATATGTTTTGCTAAAAAATAAAAAAAAGAAAGTGAGGAATTGTTATTTTAAATAGATTTCAACAGGAAACACTTAAGAATTAAAGAACAGGGAAATAGACATGTTACTGGGTTCTGGGTTATTTCTGTTGTGTGTCATCGAGTCAGAACTGGCCCACAGTTGATCTTTCAGTGGGTCTTCAGAGAAAGTGAATTGTACAGAAGGAGACTGCCCATCCTTCTCCTGTCAAGCAGCTGGTGGATTTGAACTGCTTGCCTTTGAGATTGCAATGTGTGTGTGTGTGTGTGTGTGTGTGTGTGTGTGTGTGTGTGCCGTCAAATTGGATCTGACTGGTACAGGAGGAGGTTGCCCCTCCTTCTCCAGCAGAGCTCCTAGGGAATTGCAGTGCAACTTCTTGCCACTAGGTCACTAGAGCTTGCCTCAATGCAAATTTTTACCACTAGGCCATCAGAGCTCCCTAGGTTCTTGGTGCTGGAGGAGTGATGGCGTGATGCAATCAAAAGATTAGTAAGTCTTCCCTGAACAAATGACTTTAAATTGAAACTTCAAAATGAGAAGGAATTAGAGGGGCTAATGAGTATGGGAAAGAAAATGGAAGCACAAAAGTTAGAAAGTAAGGAGAAAGCAGAAAGAGTAAGAGGAGAGTTATCTGGCAGGGTCTAAATAGCCCAGAGAGTTCAATTCATTTTCTCAGGTGTGCTGCACGTCTTTTGAAAATAACTTTTCTGTCCATCACCTTATCCCCTTTTGGGAGGGTGGTCTCCAATCTGACTCTACTGCAGACATATGGTTTGCTATTAATCAGGGTCTTCAACATCATCAGCAGCTGGGAGGCCAATTTAAGAAAGAGAGAGCTAACCAGACTGTGGAGAGATTGTGGGGAGGTGTAGCTGGCAGAGACCTGGAGACAGACCTGAGCTAAAGGTTTTGGCTGTTGGATGATAGAAGGAAAAGTTAACTTGTGATTGCTATGAAAGGAACCTTGCTGCATGACTGAGGAAACCAGAGGCTTCTTGCATCTGTCTTGCTTGATTGAACATGGATTTCTATTTGTTGATTGAGAAGTTACCTGAACTAAGTGAGGACTTGTGCTTTGCTTTTAACCTGGCTTGGGACTACTGTTCACTAAAGCTTGGACTTTCACTGGGTGATATCCTTTGTCTCTCTCCCCTCCATCACCAAACCCTTAATAAGCCTCACAGCTGTTGAGTCAAGCCTGTGAGTCATTGGCAATGAATTTCGGACCCAGTAATCAGTAGAAGTAGGTGCAGAGTGTGTGTGTTAAGGCACATGTCTGACCTTACAGGGATAAATTTTATACTATGGATATTTTTGATGGGGACAATTTTTTATTTTCAGTTGGCTGCAATATAACAAATATTTTCCCTTTTTTCTCTCTCCTTCAGTACCAAGAATATGTAATGGGTATTTGCCCCATGTCAAACTCTGGTGACCTGGATAGTAGGGAGTTTTGCTGTCAACTCCAAGGCAAGAGGTTCAAACCTACCAGTTGCTCTGAGGGAGAAAGATGGGTTTTTTTCATGTGATTTATAGCCTTTGAAAACCCACTGGAGAGTTAGCTATGAGTCAGTTCTTGTCCAAGGGCAATGAGTTTCGTTTTCAGTTTATTTATTTGTTTATTTTAATCCATACAGAAAAAATATTGAATACACTATGGAATGCTAAAAGACCAAGAACATCTTCCATAGAGAAAGCACAACCAGGGTGTTTCCTAGAGGCAAGAGTAAATGAAACTTCGTCTGACATGCTTTGGGTATGCTGTCAGGAGGGGCCAGTCTTTGGAAAGGGACATCATGCTGGGAAAAGTAGAAAGTCAGTGAAAAGAGAGGAAAAGCCTGAATGAGACTTGTGACTGTAACAATGAACTCAAGTGTGGAAGATATTATTAAAATGGTGCAGGTTTGGGCAAGGTTTAGATCTGCTATTCACAGGGTCACTGAGCGGTAGCTGGCTCAATGGCACCTAACAACAATCCCAAATAACTTGCCCTTCTAAAGTTATTTCCGTCCGTACTGAGGCAAATATTCCATTTCACACACTGATTTGGCATAAATATGACTGGCAGATTATGCTTACAGATTTTTAGATGTCACTGTAATAAACTCAACAATTAGTTCTATTTCCAGCCAGCTAATATAATTTAATTTTTATTCTGTAGATATGAGTCATAATAGTAAATAACTATACAAAATCTTTGTTTTCATGGAACTTAAAGTCCAATGACAAGAGATACTGTAACAACAACAAATCTAGTTAAACTTACAGTTTCTCCTCTTACGCCTTTTTCTCCTTTGGGTCCCTAAAATTAAAAAAAAAAAAAGAGATGTTGCTTTAGTGTAATTGAGATCATATACAGAAACATTGCAATTAGTAGAATTTTCTTTCCTAGTAATGATGAATTTTTGGTTAATGAATATAAATTCTAGTTTTTCTTCCTAAAAAAGCAAAGCAAAGCAAATATATCTTAATTTATTATGCTTCTTATTTTGCTATTCCTATCACCACAGGAAAATCAGACAGGGATAAAATGATAATTATTCATTGATTTATTCTCAATAGCTGATTTGACAATTGCATATGTTTAGAAAAGAAATTAATAACACAGTTTAGAAAAGAAATTAACAGGGTAAATTCTAGTAATATCTATTTCCTTCAATTTTTGGAAATCCTGACTCTAAGATGGTTTCTTCTTTTTTTATTTTTTAAATTTTTTAAATATATATTTTATTATTTGTGTGTGTGTGTGTGTGTGTGTGTGTGTGTGTGTGTGTGTGTGTGTGTTGTGTACCGTCAAATCAGATTTGACTAGTACAGGAGGAGATTGTTCCTCCTTCTCCAGCAGAGCATCTGGTGGATTTGAACCGTGCACCTCTGGGATTGCAGTACACCTTCTTGCCACTAGGCCACCAGAGCTCGCCGGTTTCTTCTTTTTAAGTGTGTTTTTTTTTGGTTGTTGTTGTTGTTTTTTATCTTTTCTTCCTATTCTTTTTTATCTTTTTTATGTGTCATAACTATTGATACATATCTTTTTATTCAATTAAAAATGGTTTCGAATTTTCCTTGTGACTTACTCTTTGATTTATGGGTTATTCAGAAGCATGCATTTTAATTTTTAAATGTTTGGAGATTTTCCTATTATTATTTTGTTACCAATTTTTATTTAATTGTGTTAAACCAGAGAAGTTATTTTGAATGATTTTGATACTTTCCTGTCAAAATTTCTTTTTTGACCTAGATCTCTGGCAGAATAGCCTGTAGGGAGTTGCACTGGTAGTCGAAAAGCTACACCTCTCTGGTGGATTAAATCTAACAATGGCTCCTCTAGAGAAAGAGAAATCTCCTCCTGTTTTATTTACATCCTGTATATCTAATGGAGGGTCAACTAAGAGTCGGTCTCAATTCAATAGCAGTGAGCTTCCATATAGCCTATATTGGTGACTATTCCATGAGTACTTGAAAAGAATGTAGTATAGTCTTTTCCTGAGTCAATTTACTGCTTTTTAACTTCTATACATACACATTTTGGTGTTAGTGTTTGTGGAAACTGTATGTGGATTTTTAATGTTTATAAAAAGGAAATAACACTGTTGATGATTTCTGTAACCTGAATTTACAGGTTCACAGTATGAATGTTCTTCCATGTCAATCTGCATTCTTTGTAAGTACTGATAATACCTAATACTTAAAAACCCCCAATGATATAGTTATTTAATTCTCCATTACTATTTCTAACTTTTTGTCATTATAAATAAACAACCCTGTAACAGAAATCCTTGCACTCTTTAAAATTAATAAACAATTTTTCTCCAGAAAATTTGTTTGAATTTGTACTCCTATATCATATATAAAATGTAAACTCACTACTGTCAAGTAGGCTCAAAATTACAGCAACCTTCCATGGCTTTCTGAAGATATAAATTGCAATGAGAGATGATTGCCTATCTCACCAATGACTTCAAATCACTGGAGATGTACAGTCTTTGAATTGCAACCAACTTCCTACAGACTAGACCACTAAAGTTCTCATCTATAGCACGTAAGTATGTATATTTCTTGTAATACATGCACCATTCTCACAATCACAGCTATATTTGAGTTCATTGTTGTAGCTACTATGTCAGTCCATCTAATTGGGAAACTTCCCATTTTTTGTATTGATATTCACTTTGTCAAACCGGAAGTCTTTATTGAGACACTGATCTTTTTAATGACATATCCATGGTCTATAAGGTGAAGTCTTTTTATTCCTCCCCTTAAAACGTGTGTTCTGGTTGTACTTCTATGATAGATTTGCTCTTTCTTCCAGAAGTCCTTGAAATGTTAAATATTCTTCACCGATAAAATAATAGAACTTTATCAATTCTTCTTTAGTTTTCCATATTAATTTCCTAGCTTTTTAAAGCATATGAAATAATAGAAAATAATATGGTTTAGGTAAGACACACTTTAATTTTCAAAGTGATATTTTTGTTTTTTTAACACTTTAAAGAGCTCTTTAAAGCAGATTTGTATACTGCAATATGTCTTGATTTCTTGAGTTCTGCTTCCTTGGTTGGAGATTGTAGATCCAAATCAATTGAATATTCCTTGTTCCATGCCCTTTTCTAATATGACTTGAATTTCTGGAATTTTCTTATTGATGTACCACTTCAATCATTTCTTAATTATCTTTAGCAAAAATCTTCCTACAGCTGTTGTTAGATGCTGTAAAGAACTACTCATTGTGACCCTATGAACAACAGATCCGAACCATGTCCCATCCTGTGTCATCCTCATCATCTCTGACATACTTGAGCCCTTTGCTCCAGTCACTGTGTTAATCCATTTTAATTTACCTCCATTCTGGGTTCTACCTTTAATATTATAGCTACCCATGTTCATAAGGTTTTCAGAGGCCTATTAGTTCAGAAGCGTATGGCCAATGCTGCCTCCTAGTCTGTCTTAATCTGAGAGCTCTGCTGAAACCTGTCCACCAGGAGTGAACCTTCCGGCATTTAATATACTGGTGACATGGCTTCTAGCATCACAACAACTCACAAGTTACACCAGTACAGCAAACTGCCAGACAAATGCTATACAATGACGCAAGATGATAAATAAGCAAGCATATTAAGCTTCATTTCTCTAATACTGATTTAGAAATGGAGAGCTAAATGCTAGTTAAGTTGACATAAAGAATACAATAGCAGACTTTAGAAAACAATTTTGGTTTTCCAAAATAAAACTACAGATTGCTTTTCCTTCTTGTTAATATTTATGTCTCAATGTGATCTCAAAAAGTGGAGTCACTTTGTAGACAATATCCACATATATAAAATTTATAATAAGATGTCTCTAATTCAAGATGACAGACAAGAAATAAACATGGAAAGAACTTGATCTAGAAAAGTGCAACAATGAATGAATGGAAATTCAAAGTTTCTGTAAATTTTCATTAAAATTAATTTAAAAAATTATTTAAAAAAGAAAGAACTTGATCTGGAGTAATATGGACTAAATTAACCAAATCTGAAGCTCTGGAATAATGAGTCACTAAATTAAATAAATTTGAATCTCCTATTTCTGAACTTCCTGGAATAAATTTCTTTATAAAGCTAGTTAGAGTCACAGTTTCTATTATTTGCATCACAAATTATTCTGATAGGTATCTTTCAGTATTACTTAATCCAAATATTCTGAGATTAACTGCTGGGCTCTGATCTGATCTATCCATATGCTTCTTTATTTCTTTGCACTATCATATAATCTATGATTACCTTGTAGTATGATTTATTATTTGAAAAGACAACCTCATTTAGCTTTCCAGCACTATGTTTTTAAAAATACTTTTGTCCATTCTCAAAAGTTTGTATTTAATGGTGAACTCTTCTTAGAAGAGTCTTCTTGAATTTTAGAGAATGGGAAAATTTGATGTGCATACAAAATATTACATGAGTCTTTAAATTCTCTCTGTAAATGAAACAGTAAGATATTTAATTGAGCTATTTATTTATCACAATTTCCTTGACTAATTAACATTTCACATTTTTTACAGAGAACAGCCATTCGGTAATCAGAACAGTATGCGTTTCTTAGCTTGCTGAAAAACCACCCACTGAAATATGAGAAATCTCCCACTTACAATCTCCCACACAGACTCTATAAATCTACATGGTAAATGCTGGAAGTCTAGAGAAATGTTGAGTTACACATTTATTTTGCTTATAAATCTAGCAATTTTGATGTTGAATTTTTCTCAATAGCTCTATTTAATAATTGATGTAATTTTAAAGTTATAAACATTATGTATGTACACATGACTTTCAGAAAAATTTTTTCCTTACTAAGTAATGAATATTTCCCAAGTTTCACATGACACTTTCTATTGTGCTTCTTGTCTTGAATGTTTACACTATTATAGGAATGCCAGCTGTCCTGTGAACTCATGAACTTTCCTACCAACATGGTTTTACTTCTCCGCTTTATTTCAGAGCCAAATTTTTACAGGCTCTATTTCCTGTTTTCTCTAGATATCTCTAGATCCTTAGTTAGGATAGGAAGATAAACGAGATATAAGAAACGCCAGCTATGTAATTCACTATTTGCATGTATTTGAATGATGTACCTTGAATGTGGACCTTTGTACATCTCATACATTAAAAGGAAATACCTACTTTAAAGTCTGCTGTGAGAAATTAGTAGTAAATATTTTAATCTTCTTCTTCACTGCAGTCTTTTATTGCAATGTATTCTTGCAAAGATCATCACAGGCTATTATTCATTGAAATTTTTTCCTCTTCTTTTTTTTTTTTTGTTATTCTCAAGAATCATACATATCCTTCTTTCCAGGACAGTCTGTTTCTCTCAATCAAGAAATTTGCCCATATGCCCATTTTTTTTGTTATTTCTCTTTCAGAAAAATGTATTTAATGATGACTTATATGCTTTTGGTTCTCAAAAATCTCCAATTCTCACTCTCTGTAGCTCCACTTTTTTTTAAAAAAATACTGGTTTATTTACAAAGTTCTTATACATTATTTTCACACAGGATTTCCCCCATTTCCTTCACCCCTCTCTCCACCCATCAAATTGTGTGAGTCTATAATTAACCACCTTCCAACCCCTGACCATCCTCACCCCTCTGCCCCTTTCTTTCCCCCTTGCCACCTCATACTCATTCTACAATAATGTATTTTTATGCAGTATTTGTCCTTATAGGACTGAGTTAGCTCACTCAGCATAATGCTCTCCAGTCCCTCCCAAGTTAAGTAGTGATTTACAAAATCGTTATTCTTGAGGCATAAATGGAGTCTTGCACACCAATGTTCATAGAAACATTATTTACCGTTGCAAGAACATGGAAACAGCTCAAATGTGCAACCACAATAGAAAGGATTGAGAAACTACAGCTCCACTTTGAAGCACCTAATTCATCATTTGATACATTTAATTAAGCAAATAATCTCTAAATACAATGAAATATTATTTTGGGGGGGAGTAAAATTACATTTGTTATTTTCTTAGGAAATACTCAGGCTGATCCTTTGTGGATTATTCTAGAAGTAGGATTAAAGAAAACAAAGACTATGAAAGAAAGAGATCTGTATTTTGACTAACTTACAGTTCTACCTGTTGGGCCTATTATACCTTCTCTGCCAAGGGGGCCAGTGCTTCCCTGTTGAAGAAAAAGAAAACAGTTTTATTTCCAGTATGATTTAAAAATATCATATATATTTTATTATGCTATTGTAAAATGGTCCACGTCTATACAATTACAGTTTTTAATATATGATCTTATAGCATTAGTAGAAATTGAAATTTTGATTCACTGAGTAACACAATTCTGAATACTGTTATAGCTTCCTACATTTGGAAGATGTTCAATCCCTGTAAGAAAACCCCAGAAAATCAGCATTCCAGTTTTTATGTGGGAATCATTTCAGTGATATCATTTTATACATCTACCATTACACAACAAACGGAATTAATTTCTATAAAGAGGGCTATGTAAAATGATGAAGTTGTGGATAAATTTCTTTTAAAAAGTTGACTGAGATAATGTGGCATGCAGCATGGAGCAGGGAGGAAGTATTGGAGAGCACTACAGGGGGACAAATGAAACTTCCTTGGTTTCTTAACATGTAAAACAGAAATAAGAATAGGTCCACTAAATGAAAAGAGTAAAAGATGTTTTAAAAGTTGTAAACTGTTATTTGATCTTGAAGATAAATAAAACAGCTGAACAGGTCAACTCCTTCCAACCAGAAAAGGACCTTAATCTCAATGATTAAATCCTCACTTTATCCTCACCTCCAGTGGCAGTAACTTCAGTTAATTTTCTAAAATTTAACCTGAAACACACAAGTGTAACTATTTAACAGGCATTTCTCCTCTTTTACTCCTACAGAGGAAAAGGAAACAGTACCAATTGTTATAGTTAAAATGTGTGTTGTTTATTGATGGCATTCATAAAGTAACCAATCAGGAAAGGAGTGCATTATGGATGCCTCCTGTCTTCATGCCTTTTTTTTTTTAAACAAAATTCACATTTTATTCAGATTGAAATAAACGGTACAAAATTTATTTTCTTCACCAAAAATAACAGTAATGATTTCTAGATAAAGCACAACACACTTATTTTTTTTCTTGATTATATCTACTGCCTCATCTTGTTTTATAAGCAAAACCTAGGAAATCTCCATATCTTTTCAATCTATATGCAGAACAGTTTATTTAGGAGGCTGAAATTTATGAGGAGGAATGTGGAATCAGGATTGGAGGACGACTCATCTCTGTTATGCAGACGAGACAACCTTGCTTGCTGAAACTGATGAGAATGTGAGACTTTTGCCATGGAAGGTCAATGACTGTAGTCTTAAATGTTAATTGAAGTGCAACATCAAGAAAACAAAGATCTCAGCACTGAGCCAATTGGTAGCTTCATTATAGATGAAGAAGAGATTGAGATTGTTAGTAACATCAGTTTGTTTGGTTCCACGATCAACACTCTTGGAAGCAGTCAGGAAATCAAAAGATAAATTACACTGGGAAAGTCTGCTCTCAGGAACTTCTCTAGAGCATTGGAGAGCAACAATGTCAGTCTGGAGACTAAGGTGCACCTGATCCAGGCAATAGTATCAGAGAGTTGGACAATGACTAAGAATGATAGAGGAAGGATCAATGCCTTTGAATTGTGATGCTAGAGAAGAGTGTTCAACCCACCATGGAGTGCCAGGAGAACAAGAAGGTCTGTCTTGGAGAGGGTGAAACCAGGCTGCTCCCTGGAGGCAAGGATTTTTTGAAGCGCTCTCTCTCACATACTATGGGCATGTGGCCAGGAGGGACCAGCCCTTGCAGAAGGATATCATGCTTGGAAGGGTGGAGGAAAACCCAGGGTGGGATAGATTGACCCAGTAACAAGAAATGGGATTAGGTCTTTTGGGAATTATGAGATTAGCTCAGGATAGAGAAGGTTTCAGAGCTAATGTACATAGGGTTACTATGAGTCACAGGTGACTTGATGGCAAATTATATCAACAGCAACAAAATGAGTAAGATTATCTAATAGAATGACTCTTTAAAATAGAAAGATTATTTAGAAAAATAGTATTAAAATTCAAAGGTCTATAGTGGCAAGGAAAGCTCGGTGGCTTAAAGGTCCGCCACAGTCCCCGCGCATCTTCCCAGGTAATCGAAGACACCAAAAAACCGCGCGACATGCGTTCGGCAGGCCGCTCAGAGAGGGGGTACAGGAGTCTGACCAGCTGAAGATGGATCTTAGTTGAAAGCAGGGGATACCAGAGGAATGTCTATCTGTGTTTCATTGACTATGCAAAGGCATTTGACTGTGTGGATCATAACAAACTATGACTGACTCTGAGAAGAATGGGAATCCCAGAACACTTGTTCGTTCTAATGCGAAAACTATACTTGGACCAGGAGGCATTTGTCAGAACAGAGCAAGGGAACACTGCATTGTTCAAAACTGGGAAGGGCGTATGCCAGGGATGCATCCTATCTCCATACCTTTTCAACCTATATGCAGGACAGATTATCCGGGAGGCTGGGCTCTATGAGGAGAAATGTGGGGTCAAGATTGGTGGACGATTTATCAACAATCTGCATTATGCGGATGACACAATCCTGCTTGCTGAAAATGAAGAGGACCTGAAGCACCTGCTGCAGAGGGTCAAGGACTACCTCCAATATAGATTGAGGCTCAATGTCAAGAAGACAAAGATTCTCACCACTGGACCAATTGGCAGCATCAGGATGGATGGTGAAGAGATTGAGATTGTACACAGCTTTAGTTTGCTTGGCTCCACAGTCAATACTCTTGGCACCAGTAGCCAGGAAATTAAAAGGCTCATTGCCATGGGAAAGTCTGCTGTTAGGGACCTCTCCAAAGCACTGAAGAGCAATGGTGTCTCTCTGGAGACTAAGGTGCGTCTGATACAGGCCATGGTCTTCACAATCACTTGTTATGCATCAGAGAGTTGGACAATAACCAAGGATGATAGAAGGAGAATTGTTGCCTTTGAGCTGTGGTGCTGGAGAAGAGTATTGAGAGTACCGTGGACTGCTAGGAAAACAAACAGATTTGTCTTGGAAAGGGTTAAATTGGGTGGCTCCTTGGAGGCAAGGATTCTGAGGCTCCGTCTAACATACTTTGGACATGTTGTGAGGAGAAACCGGTCCTTGGAGAGGGACATCATACTTGGAAGGGTGGAGGGACATGCAGGAGAGGAAGGCCCTCTATGAGGTGGATTGATTCAGTGACTGGGATAATCGGGATGGGAGTGTCAGAGACAGTGTGATTGGCACAGGACAGAGCAGAGTTTAGGGCTGTTGTACATAGGGTCGCTATGAGTCGCAAGTGACTCAACGGCACATAACAACAACAACATGGTGGCAAGGAGCTACGCTGTAATCCTAAAGGCACATTGTTCGAATCCACCAGCTGCTCCACAGGAGAAAGATGGGCAATCTCCTTTAATGTGATTAACTGCTTCTGAAAACCCACCAGAAGGTCAGCTATGGGTCAGTTCTGACTCAATGGTACACAACAACACAAGTGATTAAGGGCTCTGGTGGTCTAATGGTAAGAAGTTGTGCTACAATCTCAAAGCCACACAAATTCACTGCAGCTCCATGGGAGAAAGATGTGCAGTCTCCTCCCGTGCTATTTACTGCCTCTGAAAACCTATTGGAAGGTCAACTATGGGTGGATTTCAACACATAACTGGCATACAATAACATAACTGATTAATGTAATTTAATTTCTTAACTGAACTGAGTATGTTTTATGGATTTGCTTTTTGTTATGTGCCATTGAGTTGACTACTACTCAGGGCAACTCTATGAATAGCTCTGAATCCTGCTCTATCTTGAGCCAGTCTCCCTGTCCCTGACACACCTTTCCCCACTGCTACACTTACTGTGTCAATCCATCTCATCATGGGTCCTCTTTTCCTGCTCCGGCCCTCTATCTTTACAAGTATGATGTCCTTCTCCAAGGAACTGGTTTCTCCTGACCATGTGCCCAAAGTATATGAGATAAAGTTTAAAAATGCTTGCCTCCAAGGAGCAGCTTGATTTCACTCTCTACAGACAACTCTGTTAGTTCTCTTGGCAGTCAATATTCTTCTTCAGCTCTACAATTCAAGGGAATAAATTATTCTATCAACCTTAGTCACCGTCCAGATCTTAAATGCATAGTCAGTAATTGAAAAGACTATGGCCTGGCTCAGACAAACATTATAACCTAGACTGACATCATTGCTCTTTAGCACTGTGGAAAGGGCCCTGACTTTCCCAGTGTGGCCTGTCTTTTGATTTCCTGACTGCTGGTTCCAAGAGTGTTGATTGTGGAGCCAAGCAAGCTGTAACTTTTAACAACCTCAATCTCTTCTCCATCTATGATGGTGCTGCCAATTTACCCAGTGGTGAGAATCTTTGTCTTCTTAATGTTGAGCTTCAATCCATATTGAAGTCTACAATCCTTGACCTTCTTCTTCATGCACTTCAGGTCTGCCTCAGTTTCAGCAAGCAAGATTGTGTCATCTGCACAACAAAAGTTGTTGAGGAGTCTTCCATTAATCCTGGTGCCACATTCCTCCTCCTAAAGCCCATTCTCTTCAATGAATCTGTTCTGCATATAGGTTGAAAGGTATGGAGACAGGATGCATCCCTGATGCACTCTGTTCCTGATTTTTAATAATGCAATGTTTCCTTGCTCTGTTCTGAGTACTGCTTCTGGTCTAAGTTTCACATGAGTACAATCAAGTGTTCTGGGATTCTCATTCTTCTCAGAGTCAGCCACAGTTGGTTGTAATCCACACAGTCAAATGCCTTTGCATAATCAATGAAACACAATGATAGACATTCCTCTGGTACTCTTTGCTTTCAGTAAATATACATCCGACCCTGGCGATAATGTCTTTGGTGCTACAACCTGAGATTAACTCAAAGTCTTATTTTCATGCTTGGGTTTCTGTTTTCACATTCTTTAGCTTCAATTGGAATTTACACATGAGTATTGGATGATCTGTTTCACAGTCAGCCCCTGACCTAGTTTTCACAGTTGATGTTGAGCTACTACGATTCTTTCCACATATGTAATCAATCTGACTCCATTGTTATCCATCAGGTGAGGTCCATACGTATAGTAGCTGCTTGTGTTTTCTAATAAAAGGGAATGTCAAAAATTCTCAACCAGGTAGATTGACACAGTGACTTCTGCAATGGGCTCTTGTGTATCAGGAAGTATCAGGATGTTGCAGGATAGAACAGGGTTCATGTTTTTTGTTCATAGAGTTGCTATGAGTTGAATTTGACAACAACTAACAACAACAACAATGTAAAAAAAGCATCAAGCTAAATCAGTTGTCATTTGACTCTATGACATAATAATTTGTTAAAAAAATAGAGCAGTATTTATAGTATCTTAATTAATCGAGAAATACTCCAAACTTTGTTGTTGTTGTTAGGTGCCGTCGAGTTGAGTACCACCCATCTGAAGCTTGTCCTATCCTGTGCCAGGGTGTAGGGATCTTGTACATAGGGTTGCTATGAGTCACAAGCGACTCTACAGTTCATAACAACAACATCAACAACATTAACTTGGAATAATTTTTAATTTATCACCCTGGCCCTACAAAACAACAAACCACAGTTTGTGATACGTGTAATGACTTTATACTTACTCTTTGTCCAGTAGGGCCTTTAGGACCTGATATTCCAACAATTCCAACATCTCCCTCAGGACCCTAGAAACAGAATTTTGAAGCGTAAAAACTTTTGGCTTTTATGGATATTTCACTAGTAATGCAGTATCTCGCTAGTCTATAAAAAACTGGTTCTTAGAAAATTAAATATGGTTAGGTAAAACCATGCATGCTAAAGTATTTAGGGCAAAGTATACTAAGGAGATCCGTTGGCACAATGGTTGAATGTTTGACTGCTAACTGAAAGGTAAGTGGTTTGAATCTACTGTAGGAGAAAGATGTAGTAAATTGCTTCCATAAAGATTACACCCTTGGGAATATTATGAAGTCATTCTCTCTTCTAGTGTTACTATGACTCAGAATTGACCAAATGGCAATGGGTTGGCCTTTTTGGTTTTTACTGAAATGTGTAATTTACTTTGAAATGCACTGAACATGGAGAGAAAGGTGAGAAGGACTGATAGAAAAGCATGTGATAAAGGAAGGATAATAAAATGTTAAAAATAGAATCTAGATAATAGGTATATAGATCTTCACTGAGAAGTCCACCCAATCTTGCTGAATGAAATGTTTTCCTGATACACTCTTTAAGGGAAAAGTCAAATCACAGAGTGAACCTGCAAGAATAATATACAATTATGTATTAAAATAAACACTAAAAATCAAATATTAACTAAAATATTACATATTTAAAAATTTAAAAGAATAATTATTGATACTTCAGTAGCTTTCTTTTCTTTCTAGCTATCTGAAAGAGTATAAAAAAAGAACAGAACATTATAGAAACATACTTTGGGACCTGGGAATCCTTGGAAACCTCTCAAACCTTGAACACCATGCTCTCCCTGCAATGTGACGAGACAAGAGAATTGTTATTGTGTTGTGGTGGCCTCGTCTGTGAAATGAGTGCTTGGGAGGTTTCTGAGCTGGCACCTACAGGTTGCCCTTTCAGGCCAGGCTCTCCACATGGTCCTTGGTCACCTTGTGCTCCTTGGTGACCTCTTTTACCTTGTATTCCAGGCTGACCTGGTAATCCTTGTTCACCCTGTGGTCAGAAAAAAAAGGATGATATCCATTTTAAAATTTATAGACATATAGGCTTTGAAATGAAATTCAAAGGTACAATACAAAGCACTAAAGAAATAAAATTCTGCATGATCATTCTTTCTACCAATGTTTTTTACAGAAGTAATATTTGGTTAGAAGAAATAAGAATGGCAGCAGCAGATAAGAAACTTTCAGAGAATATGATGAGAAGAGAGAAGAGGGACATACAAAACTAGGAAGTTGATAGAAATGCTACAGAAAGGATGGGCAGGGTATGAAGTATGGCAGTATGTTTATATGTCATGGAGCTTACATTTGAAAAAAATTATATTTGATTTTCCCCCTTTCTATTTAATGAAACAGAGCACAGCCTCATCAAGTGTAATTTTAGTTTTTGATGTGATTTTTTTTTCAATTCCATCACTAAGGAAACTTTATTTTTGTGTCCCAATGTTCCTTGTATAGAAAATATATCTTGATTTGTATCCTCTACCAGTCACTTTATGGAACTTTGTTGGCCTAGTGGTAAGGAGTTGAGCTGCCAACCAAAAAGCAGGCAGATCAAGTCCACCAGCTGCTCTGTGGGAGAAAAATGGGCAGCCTCTGAAAAATCTCACTGGAGAACCACCTTGGAGGGTCAATTATGAGTCAGTTTTGACTCCATGACACCTAACAATAATAATGATCACTTTATTAATACACTTAAGTATCATCATTTTATTTTTTAAAGGCATAGATATTTTAAATTTGCTTTTTATTTTTTAAATAAATTGGCATATTTCTCATGCTAGTTCTAAAATAAACTTAGGAATCAAATGGAGAGTAGTCATATACTAAAGAAAGATGACACTTTATGGATAAACCACTTGCTTTAAGATTGGTGAAGTATACTACACTTTTTTGAGGCAAAGCTATTACTTTGAGACTTGATGAATATGGATCCCTTTTTACTGAAGAAAATTAACACATAAGATGATCTTTATTATTCCTAGCTTTTTAGCATTTGTTCAGCTGTCTTGGGTTTCACTGGAAATGGATACTTATGGTGTAAACATTCAAAAGAGGCTCAAACTGGGAAAAGGAAGGAATTGGGTGTAATTTTCAGCTCCTCTACCCATATTAGAGTATCTAGAAATTCTTTATAAATGGAACTATTGAAATCAAGCTAAGGGATTGTACTGACAAGGGTGACAAAGTCTTAATCTTAAGGCTTTCATGAAAGACCTTACAGACATTGGACAAATCTCTAGTGTATCCAACGTATAAATATATCTCATGAGCATTTTAGGATTAAGACAATAACTCAATCAAAGTCAGCCCAGCATTGAAATACTTCTAAAAGAGCTCTTATATGCAAATTCTAAAGACAATATTCTGTACTGAGTATTGGTCACTAGCATAAGACGTAACTGCCATCATTTAGACTCTAAGAAATAATCTATATTACAATCAGATTTACTTAATAGTTTGTTAAGTGCCAATTTGAGGGAAAAGAAAGCTAGTTGAGAAAGTATGCATCTGGAAGTAATTAAGATTTCTCTAATTTGAAGAAGAAGGGATATAACAGAAGGCAGAAGATATGAGTCATGACAGCATTTTTAAAAAGCTTTTCCAGTCTTGAGTTAAGGCATTCTTTTGGCAAATTACATGACTTTGTGGCTATCATTGAAGATGAGAACATCAAGACCACATTTCTTTCTTCCTAATAGGTTTCTACGACAAGCCAAATTTTAATGAAAGCTATTAATCTTATCCTCTGAGGCAGCCATTAAATTTAGTCCAATGCTTCTCATCTATCAGGAGAAAACACCACAATACCTTTGGGCCTAGAACTCCTGGGCTTCCTGGGAGACCCGAAGAGCCCTTTGCTCCTCGAGGACCTGGAGAACCAGCCAGTCCCATTGTTCCTGGGCTTCCTCTGATGCCCTAAAAAAATAGATATAATAAATGAAGAGTGGAATAGTTCTTAGATTAATTTCTAGGGGCTGATTCATAGAGTGAGCACTCTTCACAACTTCCTTGCAGCAGTAGAAAAAAATCAGAAAATAATTTCTTATCACAGTACAATTTCTGATGTGGCAATTAAAGTAAGTTTCTCAGTGGTTCATTTGTTAGCCCAGCAAAGAATCAGTTTAGTGATGGTAGCTTAATGAAATTGTGCAATGAACCAAACTTGCTAAAATGTGTTAGCATTTTGAAAAAAATATTCCTGAGGGGTTAAAAACCATAGGGAGAAACATCAAAATATCAGTTTAAAAAATAAGGCAAATATGACTTTTTCTTTGACTCTTGAGGCAATAAACGGTAACAACACTACTTAGTTGTTCATTCTAGGAGTCAATGCCAAGTTTCAAGTGACCAAAGAATCTGTATGAGTATTACACCATGAAGAATGACCATGGGTGAGAACTCTTTAAAAAAATAATTAAGAACACACCTGAATGGAATGTGTTAAAATATAATTGAAAGCGGTAGATCAGAAAAATGTTTATCCAACAAATCGAAAAAGCTTGTTGCAGCCATACTTTTTTAATCTATATGTGGAACAGATCATTTGGGAGGCTGGACTTTATGAGGAAGAATTAGACATCAGGATTTTATAACTGGAACAAGCTGTTCAGCTTCTGAGTCAGGGTAATGTTGGCACACCCATCAGACCTCACCTCCAGGACTTGAGGTTGGAGTATGCTCACTCACATTGATCGTTTGGATCCACAGGAGTGAAAGTGGGAGGAATATAACAACGGAGAAATAGGGTATGCTTAGACATGTCCCTTCAGCACTGTCCACCTAGCAAGTACAGATGTATGGATTAGCTGGGAAGGACTATTGCCTTGAAGAGGCCTGGCCTGTTGACTTGGCCCCACGTGGGGAGCTAGGGCTGAGAGAGCAGACCAAGAGGTTTGGAGCGTAGGGAGAAGTGTGGACACCTGAGCGTGCAGCTGATACCTATTTAAACTTAGCCACAGATGACTGGTGATGAGCTGACAAAACCCAAGCAGGTGAAGAGATGATCCATGCTGTGAACTAGAGTTAATTGCTGCAACCTGTTGGCTTGTTCGGGACTGGACAATGCTTATAGATGCAGATACTCAAAGTTTCCAAGTTGAACAGAGAATCTTTCAGCAAAGGAGACATGAATGTTTCCTCAGAGTACTGGACTGATATTGTTGTTATGTATCAACAAGTTACCTGTGACTCATAGCGAACCTATGTACATAATTAGATCTGAAACCTGCTCAAGCCTTCTCATCTTCTGTGATAGACCTAATCCCATTTCTCCTGTCATTGAATCAATCCATCTCATCCTGAGTCTTCTCCTGCTCTGTCCCTCCACCCTATCAAGCATGATATCTCTCTCCAAGGACTGGTCCTTCCCTGGCCACGTCCCCAAAGCATGCAAGGCAGAGCCTTAAACTCCTTGTCTCCAGGGAGCAGCCTGGTTTCACCTAGGAAAATCAGCAACTGGCTATCTAAAAGGGGATATTAGACATGAAATAGCTGGCTTACATGCTTTCATGAAAGTAGTTGTTGGCGGGATGATTGATTGTAAGGGAGAAAACCCCCCACAGTATAAATGAATTAAATATAATGTAAATTAAGTACTTTATGGAATACAATGTACATACATGAAACACAGACAGACATTCCTCTGGACCTCTCTGCTTTCAACCAAGATCCATCTAACATTAGCTAT